ACACACACACACACACACACACACACACACACACACACACACACACACACACACACACACACACACACACACACACTCACACACGGGCGTGTATAGGCCTACGCACGCACGCGTGCGCGCGCGCACACACACCCACACACCCACACACATAATTATGTATATAAAATGTATACAAATATATACATATACAAATATATACAATTGTTGCTGTTTGTTACGCCCTTGCGGGGTCCCTGGGGTCCTCCCCCAGAACATTTTGAAAATATAGATCGCAGGAGATCTATTTGAGGCACTTTTGAGTAAATGTACAGCCTTCATTCTGACTACGACAATTATCTTTTTAGTAGAACTATTCTCTTCATGAGCAACAAAATGTGATCACTAAAGATCGCTATAACTAATCATGTAATTTTCGTTTTATTATCAAGACATGTTGAACTAACGCACATTCTTAAACTCTCTCGTTCTCTCTCTTCCTCTCTGTGTGCGTGCGTGCGTGCGTGCGTGCGAGCGAGCGTATGCGTGTGCGGGTGCGTGTGGGCGCGTCACATTACATTACATCACGGCTTAGTAAAAATGTTTGGTAAAAATGATGTGTACGCAACTGCGTATCTGCGTTATGGTAGCTACGCCCCTGTCTATGGTTATTCTTATATGCTTTGGTTGCTCTTGTACTCTGCTTGTATATTGTCAAACTGCATGCAGCGCCCCTTCGTACACTCAGAATACCGTAGATTGAGCCCATGAGCGAGAGCGCCATCTGTCGTGGAGTTTGGTATAGATCTTGTATCTCGATCACCAGCTGCCCCAGTGCGCAGCGTACAGTAGTATTTGGGGGTGTCTATATTCAAGCCGGTACGGGAGATCATTTGCATAATATATTCTAAATACCTATAGACACATGTCTTAGCTATACTCTCTGCGAATATTGAGTTTATTGACGCACGATTAGTCAATATATTAGCAAATATATGCGTACCGTTTTTTCTCCCGTACTGGCTTGCCCTAAAAATTGCCCTGGTGTTATTTTAGTGTTATTTTAGTTCTGGTGTTATTTCTGGTGTTAAAATAACACCAAAATAAAAAAAATTTTAGGGCACAATTTATTGGTCTAGCTTGAATATAGACACCCCCGTAGTATTTTAGTAGTCACGTGATGCTCTTTCTGTGTTCGACTTTGGTTCGAACCGTTCAATACGAACAACCAATATGGCTGCGCCTACGAAGCATGCATGTCAACAGTTTTATCAAAATATGCAGCAACGGCAACCTCCTGGTTTTCCTTGGCGTGGTACCATGCACAACGGCCCAAGAATGAGAGGCTATTGCCGACCTCCGGTTCCTGGCTTCGGAAGACCCCCCTTTTCACCACCCTTCAGAGGAAACCAGCCACCACCGTGGCGAACTGCGGGCGAGATGAGCGACTGCACAGACGAGTTCCATCACCCGCCAGATCCAAATATGCACGGCGCTCCGTGGATTCGTCTACCTAATATATTTAGGGGTAATGTGCACCGTGGTCGCGGACTAAATAACAGGCCAAATATGTTGAAGCGTGGCCAGTGCCCCGGCCCCATGCGAGGTACTGGCCCGAGGCCAGGCTTCGCGTCTCACCAGCAAATGTCACCGCAGCTGCCACAGAGAGGTCGTCAGCAGAGAATATCGAAGAGGAAAGCCAACAATGATCTTCCGTCGACATCAAATGAATATGATGATGGTGCTGATGATACCAATTTATCAACCACTGTCAGTCAAAAGGTGTATGTCATACTCGTAGCTCCGTTATTAGGCCATGAGAATTGTGGTATGAGTTTACGGTCCGAGATATTTTGAAAAGTGAGGAGGCTTTTTTTCATTTTTTATTTTTCATTATTCATTTCATATTTGTAGTTAACCCATTGAACACGTTTTTCGGGATCGGGCTGTAAGTCGATGTACTCACGATACGTCAGCATGCTTTTGCCCCCTAAACCAAAACCAAACCCAAGGTCTCAAAGAGCCAGAGGGGGATCAGGACCCCAATGAAGGATGCAAATAGGCCCTATAGCGTGTTTGTATTGGTAATGTAGGTATGTTTTAATCGCTCTGAATGGACAACTTTGGTTTTAATGATTTAAAAATGAAAATAATGAAATACTTTTGAAATAATGAATATTTTCGGCAGTGTCTCTGACGGCATGCGGGCAGTGGACGGTAAACTCATACCTCAATTCTCATGGCCTTAACATGGTGGTTGGGGTCCATAAAATGTCGTCGCGAAAAAAACGGGGTTGCACTAAATCGGGGTTATATATATACGTGGCTATATAAGAGCAAAAAAAGGGGGTCCAATGACTCATCGCGTTGTGTCCAAATTCGCCTTAAATCGGGGCGCGTAAAATCAGGGTGCCACTGTATTACACTACAGACTGTACAGATACCAGAATATATTGCACGAGTCAAACAGTCCTGCAACAATGTTCTATCAGGAACAATATATTCTGGTGTCTGCTGTAATAAAGAGCTATGCAGTATTATTAATATTTATATTTTGTACTTACTTACTATAGAAATGGCTAAGGGATAACTGTACACAGAAACTGTTGAATGTTTATACAATGTATAAATGTTTTGCAGAAAGGGAAGAAGAAAGCGAACAAGAAGGACCTGCCTGAATATAACCTGTATGCTTGTGATATCTGTGACCGAGGGTTTCAATCTGAAGAAGCATATGAAGCTCACATACAGACACACGAGAAGGTAACGACGTTTATTGAAACCTACAACCTCTTGTAAATAGATTAGTGCTACCCTTTATGGTTACCAATAATGGGGACTAACTTGTATGAGTAATGTGATATCTAGAGTAATAATCTGTTCTTTTGTTTTATTTCTACACAGTGTAGTTATGAAGGGTGCAACTTTACAGCACATCCTAAGGTTGTTCAGAAACATATCCACTGGGTAAGTAGTCAGCACAAAATATGTTGCTTGTTATAGCGATGGCTGAACAGACTCAGTACTATGTTTCATGTTTGCCAGATAGGCTACGCATCACATGTTGGGGAACTGCGGCTTGGTGTATTAGCAACAACCGGGCAAGTGAGTGTTGCTGCCAGGGTCTATGTCTCCCAGGGTACTGCCAAAACGTACCCTGGGTATGGTCAGGTATACCGGAACGTACCCTGGTACTATCTAATATGCCGGACCGTACCTCGCCTACTCCACTAACGAGTCTAGGGCGTCACCTACGCCTACTCCCTAACCCTAACCCTAACCATATCAGATAGTTACCAGGGTACGTTCCGGTATACCGGACCGTGCCCAGGGTACGTTCCGGCAGTATACCCTGGGGGACATAGACCCCGGCCTATACCCTGGCAGTGTAAGTGTGTTCAAATATGCTGCCAGACTAATAGCGACTTAACACGTAAACATAAGAAATGTGTGTGGGAAGTTGGAACACAAAAGCCCAACAGCTAATAAACAATGTTTCACCCGTCTAAAATTTATTTAGTCAGTCCTTGCTAAATTGAAATGATGGAAATGAGTTTTGATGGCAAACTTCGTATTGAGCAGTATTTTATTTATTTAAGCAACACTTGACTGGTTGTGCAGAAAAGATTAAGCGATTAACTACAATGAGTGAAATACAGAAATGGAGAGAAGAGAGAAAAAGGTAAGGGTGGAAATTTTTTTGGAGTGCTTTCTATCCTGCTGATACAAATACCTCTACAACAAATTTGCCTCTGTAACACAATCAAATTTGTGCAGGAATTATCCAACAAAGGAGAACATTATGAGGAAGAAAGCCTCTTCAACAGATAAACGGGAAAGAGGAGAAGTTCTTGAAACCAAATCTTTTGGGTAAGTTACGTAATCTAAAAAGCAGTAATTATTCCTGTTGCTTTTTCATGCTATACATTTGAACTATTACATGAAGGATAGTTTTAATTTAACTTTTTCAACTATAAATGCAAGCTATAGGATTTTTATTTATATTTCCTGAGTAGTAAATTTGGAAGGCTGCAAAAGAAACGTATGCGAAAACAAGTCTACCAGGAAGGTGGAACTGACGTAGGGAAAATGAAAAAAACATCACACACAAGACAGGACAATGAGGACGTGTCACAACAAGCCGTGGTAAGTGTTGTGACAATGAGGATGTGTCACAACAAGCCGTGGTAAGTGTTGTGACAATGAGGATGTGTCACAACAAGCCGTGGTAAGTGTTGTGACAATGAGGATGTGTCACAACAAGCCGTGGTAAGTGTTGTGACAATTCTGTAATAAGTTGCTTGTGCATTGTAACATTAACATGTACCACTATGCTGATTAACCTATTGTAATGTCCATGTCCACACTGTCCCTTGTACCTCAGTATGAATGTTTGTCCACTTGCATTTCTAAACTGCAAGTTTAAATTCCAGAAGGAAGACAAGCCAGAGGTTCATGAGAGTCAGTATGGAAGAGCTGATCCAATGTCTTACTTCCTCACAGGCCATAATGATGAAGGTTAACATCTCTTCGAAATACTTTTTAAATGTGTCCTGTTTGAAATCGGTCAGTTTTTAAGCATCCTTGTTTATTCACTGCCATTACTCTCCTATTGCAGTTGGTATATAAGTGTTTGACTTGGCTACAGACATTTTCACTATTTCCTGTCTACAATTTGTGTATAATTCATGTGACATTTCTTGAAGTTCCTGATATGTTACAAAAATTACCGAGTCGTCTGCGCACATGGTCGCTTTATGATTAGTAATTGACGATTGCATTTCATTCTTCATGCACAGACTCTGACACTGAAGCACCAACGGTAGAACCAATAATGAAGTCTGACCCATCAGTTCCAGCATTGCCTGGTGGACTGGGCACCTTACTGGCTGCATATGGTAGTGATTCAGATGAGGAAGTTACACCATTTACGTTGGAAGTTAGAGAAAAACGTAAGCCCAGAGCTGCCTACTATCATAAGTCAAATTGTCCCAGTTATTTACGAGTATCATGTATTTAGCTTTAACTTGTTTTTCAACCTGTTTAGCCTCAACAAAAATGGAAACTAAAGACGTAGAACATATCTTGGAAGCCGCAAATGTGACGTTAAATTGTGATGAAGAGTGTCATTCCGAAGATCACATGCAATCGAAGGCAGACGAGCAGCCGGAACATCGGCACCAGATAAATAGCAACGTAAACAAACGCCAAGGCATGCCGCCTGCAAGGGGGCGGAGCCGGAAGCGTAGGAGAGGCGGTGGACCACAGCAGCAGCCAATGTTGATGCGACGACCTACTCTCCTTGAAAAGGTGAAGTACAGCGTTTACCCATGTCAATCGATAAATATGTTAAGTGTATCAACTGTAACGATCTTGTCCGAGTGTATTCGCTATTCGTAACCTCTTTATTGTAGTTTGTGCACATGAGACTATAGGAATATAAAATGATGGTTCATATTGCAGCTATAATCACCAACATTTATAGTTTACGCTCTGACACAATGATATAGTTTTCCTAAAAGTGGCAAGTGGTGGTGAATGTGAATGACCAACTGAAAAATGTGTATTGCTCTAAATTGCAGCTACTTGCACCGGAGATACGGCATGAAAGGAACGTGATACTGCAGTGTGTACGATACATAGTCAAAAACCACTTCTTTGGAATAGGCCAATCAGATCAATCGACAAGTCCAGCCAGTGTATGATTAAGCTACAACTAGAGGCAGCACAAGTGCAGCTAGTTTTATGATGGAGGATGTAGACATGGAAAGAAATGCACTGCATATAATAATGTTGCATTTTTATATATGTGGATGTAAAAGGCATCTAATAACTGATACTGATCACATACAATTAATTAGTCAGTATTAAGCTCGGGTGTATAGTGAAAGCAAAATAAGTTGTAATCATGTAAAAGAAAAGTGCAGTTGTGAGATTCTTGTATTTTTATGCGACAAACCTCGGCTAGGTTTTGTGAACTATGATGAATATTGGCATCTGTGTAAATCGCATAAACTAATAAACTAATGAAAAACAATAATACTCTGCTTTCAAGTTCATATAATTATATAAAATATATTTTTAGTGTTTAAGATTGGTAAAACCACCATAAAATCAAAAAATGTTGGGATCACTTTACAAGGCTATAATTAATGGATTGCAAACAATATCCATCTCTCATACCTATTAAATACTGGAATTTTAAAGCTACTATAAACCTAATTCATAATTCTGCCAGTAAAAACAGGTGAACCTACACACATGTGGTCAAATGTGCTGGCAGTGAAGTTCATTTTCAATTCAGCATTCATCTATATTAATTAAATAAATTATATATTAATTAAAATATAAGTATTTACATCCCGAGGTGTTTTTCTTTTTTTTTTAACTTTGGTAAGAAGTGTAATAATACCATTATTTGCCTGATTATAGGAAATTCGTCAATTAGGAATAAGATTATCAGAAAAATAAACAGCAGCTTTATGTAAAAATGAAATAAAGGCATCTGGCTTTAGAATTTTCGATCAATGTACAGTGTGTACATGATAGGCAATAGGCGCTAGCGTAACTTTTTGTGCTGATCAGCCTGGAAGTGAAGAATGATCCTTAGCGAGGGGAAGCCAAGCAGGAACGTCTGCAGCCACCACTTCATCGTGGATCCCATTGTTAAGTTGCTTTTCCTGAAAAACACGGCCATCACACATGATCAGTCACTTATAAACATTCAGATGGAGGATTTTTACCCATGTCAATAAATTGCATTTCATTAACTGAAGAATTGAGAGAGAGCAGACAATCACCACTTGCCCAAGAATGATAGGTGATTGCGATTATATAACCAGTTGCCTCTCCAGAATTACAGCTTCTAGTGTGTGAGTTACGTTAATCCTAAATCAAAACCAGGGGCCCGTTGTCAGAAACAAAATTAGTCTTAACATTAGTCTTAACATTAACTTTTTCTGTTAGACCGTCGACAGAAACGCTGCGAAGTTACCTGAATGAAAAGTCGTAGCAGATTTCCTGATAACAATATGAAACAAAGCGCTGTTGACGGTCTACGAGAAAATGTTAGTGTTAAGACTAATGTTAAGACTAATTTTGTTTCTGACAACGGGCCCCTGATGTGCACTATACTGCTGTACCTGCATTTAACGACGGCCACAGCTGCCTCCAGGAAATGAGCCAAAACGCATAATATCCATCTGAAAATGTGATAAATCAGACATTCACTATAGTCCCTATTCATGATTCAGTTTACCTGTCATGTGTGGAACTGTCAACTCCAAGCACTACCAGAGAACTTGTGATCCAGTAGGGTACAGCTAAAATTGTTGCAAGGATATGATGAAAAATTGCACTTCGATCTTCACGAAAATGAAACAATGTGTAGCAGTAGCACTGAAGCGCTCGAGTGGCTAGCGGAGTCCGGATGGCGACGATACGGCCGTTTCAACGCCTCCGGGCACAACGGGTGAGTGAAGAACAAGATTTTTGCTAGTCACTAAGTATTGACCGGTGGCGCCATCGGGTGTCGCCGGGAGACGCGAAACGCTACAAATGCATAAATCTGCAATTTTCCTCCGACATTCGATTCATGCATTATGACGCCTAATTAGGATGTCCGTGTTGAACATGTATCGTTACCTATCTTCTTAGCTCTACCCATGTTGGCATTCGCTCTCATTACAGGGCTAATCGTATAACAGTGGTGAGAAAGAGAGGGGAATCTTGGCAGCGTGGCAGGGTAACTGGTGCCTGTTCGCTAGCACTGCTGTATTTCTGTTTTGATGAGATGGCTGCAGACTTTTATTTTTGATTTGTATGAATTCGATAAACACGTCAATCTGCCAAATTACGCCGAGTTGAATTTGACTTGAGAGTGGCAGGCTAAAGTCGGGAGGTTTAGCTTTCCGGCTAGCATATTTTCCTACTGTAACGTGGGCCACAGCTCATCTGTGTAGCGTGACCGAAGAGTTACATGGGTAGAGCACCTAGACTGAGAGTAAGACACGAAAATCTAGTATTTGGACGAAAATCGAACTAGAGTTCACTGCAAGCTGCGACTCTCTCGCTGTAAGTGGACAGTACATTGCTTCCGGTCGCCGCTGTGTAGTGCTGACTCATGTACGTCATTACTACAGAGATTACCAAATCCAGCGTAAGAGGCGGGTCATCACCATGGGGATAAATAACAAGACGTTATTGTGGAGTAATGGCCGCGTCCATGACTGGAAATGCGAGAAAAGATGGTAGAAGGAGAAGGAACTAGAGGGCTGTCTTCGCTGCAAGAGCGAACACTGTATCTGGCAACACGAGCTAGCAGCCGATAAGGTAGATTTTGTTGGAAATCTGAAGTCTGTACGACAATTATTAGTGAAATTATTAAAACTCGCGAAATGGCCGTCTACGGGGGCCATATGGACGCTCATTACGCTGATGAGACTACGATGATTTCTCTAAGTCCCGGCCCGATTCATAGCAATCTCTTAGGCGTAAAAAAAAAGATGAGTTTCCGCTTTCCCGACCGACCCTAGATATACCCGCCGACCCTAGCAATTTTATTATACAGTGGTGTCAGAAAAATCTGACATGCATGCGCCTACCAAGCAGCTTGCTCAAGCGCTCACGAATCGCTCATTTCACACCTACTTGAGCGGTTGCAATAGCTGTAGACCGCCTCTCCCAGGTGGTTGACAGTTGACTATGCTCCTCGTAGCGCGCGGCAAGCGCCTGTCGCATGCGACACGCGGTACCACTTCGACACGCTCGCTGAACGCGGCCAAAACGTATGCTAGCAGTTCGGCACGGCAATTCGGGACCCCCACAATATATTTTCATACATGTGCTACACTAGTGCTAGTAGTTTTTAGTATATCCAGCCAGCTTACACTATCTCCATTGTAGCATGATGGTTTTTCCCTAAGTACTTGCTTAATGTGGTCAGCGGTCCAAATACTCCAGGTATATCATCTGGGCAGTACACAGATAACTGGAAAATGTACAAGGTTATAACTGAAAATTAAGAACAAAAGGATAGCGATTTACTTATTGAAGTTGTTCAATGACTATTCATTGCCTGTCATCTTGTCTAAACAATAACATGGTTCCCACAAATGTGAATATATTTTTCAAGGACCTTTCAAGGACATAAGTTTTTACAAGGGCAATCTGTGACAAGTAGTTTAAGCATTTTAGAGTCATCATATATACCTTAGATCAGTGGTTGTTAACCTATTTTGAGTCATGGACCCCTTTCAGAATCCGGTGAAAGCTATGGATCCATCCCCAGAAAAATGCACATAAGCACATGATTAGCTGCCAGCGGCAGTTAATGTAAGCGGGCTATAGTACTAGAGCTAACGGTTACGTGGATAATAACGCAGGGATAGCTATACTATAGGGAACGCCATAGCTAGCCATGGGGTGTGACCTAGCTTGGGTAAAGCCAGGTAGTTAGGCTCATAGGGTCTATGTCCCCCAGGGTACTGCCGGAACGTACCCTGGGTACGGTCCGGTATAACGGAAAGTACCCTGG